TTTGAGTTTACCCTCAATAATCAGAGCTAAATTTTTTCAAATAACAAATTGTTGCTTACAACGTTGGACGAAATATTTTCGAACTCATCCCCTAAAAGATTAGAGCGTTAGAAGAGATTGATTGTTATTGTAGCATGACTCCTACGTTAGTTCTTTCAGCATATCTTTTATTCCGCCTAGTACCTTATTTTTTTAGGCTGGTAACTTCCAACCAATGTAATTCGCTTACTAACGCTATATTTGGATTTGACTTCCCATGCCAACAGCGATACAGATTTCAAGATTCGACTGTAAAATGTAGTAAGACCGGAGAGCTAAGGTAGAAGTTGCGAAATGAACGTTGTTTGGCTTGATTTTTGCTAAAAATTTTGGTTGGATTCTCATTTCTTCTGATTTATCGTAGTACGTAAATCCTGGTTGAATTTTTAAAAACAACATTAATGCTAAAATTTTTGTGGGGTAAATTTTAAATTTACCTAACTATACACGGGTGTTTCAAATTAAAGTTCATTTTGAAGCAGCAAACAACTTACTGAAAAATGATCCTGCTGTAAAGTGAGGAGGCCTGGGTAATGCTGGCGCAACAGTAGTTGATGGTGATGTTTCATAGGAACTAGAAGTGGGGCCTGAGGGCTGCGTTTCGCCTGTCCCAGGAACTTCTGACGCAGGTAAAGTTGTCGTTAAAAATGGTGAAGAAGCTGTTTGTTCCTGTCCCTCTGGAGCTACCGATGATGCATTCAAGTCCTTTGCTGCTTCCGCGTTAGCAATTTCAGACTCGTTCGGTGTTTTCAAACGATCGCCCTAGAAAATATTCAAGAGAGTGAAAGGAGGAGTGCTTTTGTTTTAGGACTTACAGTTCTGTTCTTGTCCGTTTCATCAGAGTTCTCTAAGCTGTCGTCTGCTGAGCACTGCAGGAGAATGAGAAGAAAGCAAAAAATGACTCCTTTGCTGGTCATTTCCGGAAACCAATGAGGAGAATGAACAGGAATGTGAGGATTTCGACAATCGTAACCACAATGAATGGAGCGATAGTGAGCTCAGCTGCAATAGGGCAACAAAGCTCGTTGACAGGAACTCTACCCCATTCAATGTCGCTTGAATCGTGGCATCATCGATTCATTTGAAAGCTGCTAAATTTGAAAAAAAGTTTCATATAGGCATCACTGTCCCCAACATTTCTAAGAAGTTTTTTGGAATTTCTCGAAAATGTGCTATGCTTGTACTCAAGGTAACAGATCATAAACATCTTAAGGACTTCGCACGGTCCTTGGAGATTCTTTTTGTCCTTTCATATTTTATCTTTATAATAAAGCAAAAGGTCTGTATGTATGTATGTATGTATGTATGTA